AAAATGCAAATATAAATAGCCACATACTATAACCTTCTTTCAATTTGTTTATGGTTTTGCTTCCCAAATAATATATAATAGTTTTAAAAGAAATGAAGAAGAAAAAGATGAGTGATACTGACAAGAATATATCCATCCTTGCGAAATTGAAAGCTCACTTCCACTACAGAATAAAGAAGGTTGAGTAGACAATGTCACAACTGGAGTGGAGCCTTGATGATTTTTATTGAATTCCAAACGAGGAAAATTTTCAAGTATGTCCAAAGCAATATCTGGAATAACCATGTTAGAAGAAGTTACTTAAACAAAGTGTCAAAACTGATAAAAACAAAGGTTTGTTTATAATTAACTCCTACCAAGCATTTTGTTAAGTAAACAAAAATGTAGTAGTGAGGAATCGTGGTCACCATATTTCCGAGCTATGAATTCGATTGGAGCTTGACAATATAGAAATCGCGTCATATCCTTAATTATGACGGTGGTAACATGCCTTCACAACAGGAATCATCCCATTCTTGTCAGGGACAGTTACCAATTTCTGGATATTTGTGATTAAGCGCTCTGCAACCTTTGGGTTGCCAGAACTGCGACAACGGCAAGAGCTGTATTACCCTCGTGATCTTGTGTTTCCAGTTCTTCTGATGACATTATCTGCTCCAATTTCTCAATCTTTTCTAGATCACCAGTCAGAACTACCATGTTAAGAATGGTGCCGTCTTTGCGCATAAATCTTGCAGTTGTTGCTGGTGGATGATTGTCTAAAAAGCATGTTACAGCATCCCAAGATAAATGGCCTTGGGTAAGGGTGGATAAGTAGTAGGGGTGTTTATATTTACTCTAATTCGATTTATCCGGCCTAAACTGATTTAATTGATAAAAAATAAATCAAATTAATATAAAATTAGGTTGGTTTAGATTATAAAATTTTAAAACTAATATAATTGTTTAAGTTTGTAATTTTAGTTTCAAACTGCTTGAACTGCTTAATTATAAAATAAAATCTGATTATAAGATAATTTAATTAAATAATATAGTATATTTTTTGTAATATTTTAAATTTTTTCTCATTTTACAAGATGATAATTCCATTAACTTAATTAAAAAATAAAAATAAAATATTCTCATATTCTCTAATTTATTTTCCTTTCTAAATTGTGCTTTCTAACCCTAATTCTAAATTTTTAATTCATCTGTAACTTTATCTCTTAAAATTGGTTTACGCCTCTACTTTTAGAATCTTAAATTTTTAATTTGTTCTTAAAATAATATTCTGATTCTCCTAACTAAATTTTAAGAAATATTTGATTTCTAAAAGTCTTAAAACAATATAATAAAATTAATTTTGATATTTTATTATTCTTGGATGTTTGGTTGAGGAATTTTAAATCTTGATTATGAATGTTTCTAATCATTCCTAATGATATTCATGTTAAATTTTATTTACTTTTAACAGGATTTGAAAGATGGGATTGAATCATTTGGTATATTAAGAAAAAAAGAAAAAGAAAACTAGTTTTAACATTTAAAAATTACTTGCATTGTATTTAAAATTTAGAATCATCTTTTATTATTCTTAGTGTCTCTGGTGATATGGCCAAAAAGAATTTTTTGATCTTTTCAATCTTTACAATTGTAAATGAATATAAGAATTTATTTATAATTTGTGTATTTTATTATATTTCGAGTGATTTGGATATTAATTTATTTTATAGTTATGTTTTTTATTTAATATTAAAATTTTTTATATGATCTCATATATTTAATAGTGTTAAAAATTGATCAATCTAACTGAATCACACCAATCTAATTTAAATTGGATTAGTTTGGTTATCACATAATAGTGGAGTGGATTGGATTAGTTTAAAAATTTTATTAACAGATTAAATTGAATTAATTTAAGAAATATTAAAATCCAAATCAAATCACACCATAAACACCATAAATTGTTCACCGACCCGTTGGTGATTCTGCGGGCGGTTTCGGTGCGGAACCGCGGCCCTGCGTAAAAAAACCCAGCCCTATAAGTAGTCCTCTCAATGGACTCAGATGTCCCTGGCAGAAACATTGCAGCAAGAATTTATATGGCAAATAAACAGAACTATGAATGTTCATTAACATATATAAAAGAATAAACCAACTGAAAATTGGAAGGAAATTAAAAGACATTCAAATAACACTCCATTTGAAAAGAGAAGGATTCCTTTTATTTTCAATGCTTTAGGTATTGTTTTGGAAACCATATTGAGAGCTTTAGATTCTCGCATCTATGAAATACTACTTTGATTTCCATGATGATCAAAAAAAGTTGGTACACTACTCACTACTAGGATTGCGGAAGGTTTAGATTTTTTTTTTTTTTTTTTATTAGAGGGGAATTCGGACAAGGCTCAATGGTGTTTTTTTCTCTTTTCCAAACTAATAAAATAAAAATAAACTTGGGCCGGGACGACTTGGGCTTGGGAGTTGGGACCAGGGCTGTCTTGCCTACATAGTATTTCAACTTTCAAGCGGTTTACCGTCCCACCCGTCTGTCATGTTCGGATCTAGGCTAAGATATATAGAAGAATAAACCAATAGAAAATTGGAAAGAAATTAAAAGACACTCAAATAACACTCCATTTGAAAATAGAAGGATTCTTTTTATTTTTACATTAACATATATAGAAGAATAAACCAATTGAAAATTGGAAAGAAATTAAAAGACATTCAAGTAACACTAACTTAGAGGAAAGCAAAGAAATAGTGAATCAGTGCATGAATCTGGCCGGCGACTTTACAACCCGTTACAGGAGTTGGTCAAAGTCTTTAATGGGAAACATCGATTCCC